ATGCATATTCAGGACAAAACAAACTAACAATAAATACAATAGGTAGTTTCTGTAATAGAGGAGTCAGGGACTAAGGTCGGAGAAATTTATAGATTGCCACGGGAAATGAGGGTATATTGGATAGGGTCAGAAATTTAGCCTTGCAACAGGTCACCTACGGACCCCTCAAAGAGTTGTTGCAAGGGTTCTTAACGTGCAAAGAGCATGGCACTCTCTTTACACGAGGCATCAGATTTAACGTCCCCATTCTGACCGGACGTGGCTGCAAATTTGTACATCCCACACAGCCAAACGGACGCCCCACTTTAGCAAGGGTTTTACTGCCAGTCCGAGGAAGACCAATGGTGACCATACTTCTATTCCCCAGTCACCCTTGGGGTTTAGATTCTTTGATATGCTGAATCTAACCATGTATTTAGATTTTAGATATTGGACCATAATAGGTAAATTAAAAAAATTTAAGTTCTTAGACCGCATTCATTCTGTGTCAGAAACCTATGCTGTGTCAAATACTTAATCACAATCCAAATTCAGAGCTGTATCAAGCTTGAATGTTGTGTCCATACTTGCCCCAACTGTTCAGGGTTCGACCTCTGCGGTCGTATCAAGCTGCGCCCAACGGAGCATTTTATTTGGTTTGTCATGTGAATTTCTCACTTATTATGTGTAATAGGATAACTATATTTGGTATATGGGATCCTTGCAAGGCCTACATGTTCATCAGACAGGGTTCACCTGACCTGCATAAGATTTTTTTACAGAAAATGATTATCACACACTGTTATATAACAGACAGAGCATTTTATATTAATGTTTAAGTATGATACTCTTATGGGTTGAAAGTTAAATACATGTACATGTAGAAAAGTTTTTATCACACTATACATATATAGTCTGGAAATGATTTCATTCGAGCATACAAAGTGCTTTAAATTTACAATTTCGCAGCATATACAAATTATTCAATATTCAGAAAAAAAAATAAAAAAAATAAGAGAAGTTTTATCTACCTACGTCATTGTCTGTGTGAGATTTAATACATAAAATAAGGTAATGACAAAAATCGTGATATTTAAATCATTTTGACGAAAGTAAAGAATACATACATGACATAACTGAGATAGCAGAATTTCTCTAAACTTAACTAACAGTTAAGCAATCCATGCATGAATTGATCTGAAGGACCTGAATTCTTAAATAAACAGTAAAAAAAATAGATGAGAAGAAAAATACTCATCTGATCATTTTAAGATATGCAATGATTTCAAATGATTACAAAATTTATATTCTATGGATATAGAGATTATGTGTTTCAGTATTAAAGTCTATCAATATATTTTGATAAAGAGGGTGAATTATTGGCAACCAAAAACAATGATTAATAGATCTGTCACATTAACATTAAACATATGCAATGTTACTTAGTTTATTTTGTATTTAAATTTCAATTGTTTGAAAATAAAACTAATTATATCTACGATATTAAAATGTATGATATAGTTCAGAAACTTAATCAGATCTCAAATCACCAGTCTCAAAGAAGTTGTCATCTTTTGTGTGTGTGTGTAGGGTGGGGAGGAAAGAAAGTAGACATGATAATGTGTGTGAATATTTTTCATTCCAGCAACAATATGTGGGGAGGGTTTGTTGTTTTACCCCAGTCTGTCCATCCCACATAGGGTATATGGTTTGTCCTAAATTCTAGTTTTGAAGCTGAAACCTTTATGTTATGTAGGGTGTTAAGTACTAGTACAATTTATAAAATGAGTGCACATTATCAGGATTTTGATTTTCTTAAAATTTTGCACAAATGACAGGTTGTAGAACTTTGTCATTTAAAAAAATAGTTGTTTGTAAGAAGAGAAAATCCCATGCCCTTCCAAAAAAGTTGAATGGTTGGTGTCTTAATAAAATTGAGAATGGAAATGGGAAATGTGTCAAAGAGACAACAACCCGACCATAGAACAGACAACAGCAGAAGTTAATAGTACATTTTTTTTTATAAAGTTATACATGTATATAACTATGAACAATGTGTTGGACCTATCATTTCTTAATTTTTGTCGAACCTGCGACTTTTGTCGCAGAAAGCTTGACAAAGGGATTGTGATCCGGCAGCGGCGTTAGCTAACTTCTTAAAAGCTTAATATTTCAGAAGGTAGAATACCTGGATCCTTCATACTCTGTATAAAGATGCCTTATGTTATGAAGTTTCCGTCTGTCATATGTTCATTGACCTTGACCTCATTTTCATGGTTCAGTGACTACTTGTAAAAAAATTAAAGATTTTTAGTATTCTTAATTTCTCTCTTATTATGAGTAATAGGATGACTATATTTGGTATGTGCATACCTTGCAAGGTCCTCATGCCCATCAGACAGTTTTCATTTGACCTCGACCTCATTTCATGGATCAGTGAACAAGGTTAAGTTTTGTTGGTCAAGTCCATATCTCAGATACTATAAGCAATAGGTCTACTATATTTGGTGTATGGAATGATTGTCAGGGGTACATGTCCAACTGGCAGGTGTCATCTGACCTTGACCTCATTTTCATTGTTCAGTGGTTATAGTTAAGTTTTTGTGTTTTGGTCTGTTTTTTGGCCTACTATGTTTGATGTATGGAATGAGTGTAAGGTGTACATGTCCAACTTGGCAGGTGTCATCTGACCTTGACCTCATTTTCATTGTTCAGTGGTTATAGATAAGTTTTTGTGTTTTGGTCTGTTTTTTGGCCTACTATGTTTGATGTATGGAATGAGTGTAAGGTGTACATGTCCAACTTGGCAGGTGTCATCTGACCTTGACCTCATTTTCATGGTTCATTGTTTAAAGTTAAGTTTTTATACGACCGCAAAAATTAAAATATTTTTGGTCCTATATTGGTATCACGTTGTCTTCGTCGTCAGCGTCGTCCGAAGACAGATGGTTTCCGGATAATAACTTTAGTATAAGTAAATAGAAATCAATATAATTTTAACACAAGGTTTATAACCACATTAGGAAGGTTGGGATTGATTTTGGGGCTATTGTCCCAAAGGTTTAGGAATTAGGGGTCAAAAAAAGGGGCCCAAATAAGCATGTTTGCAGTTTCCAGACAATAACTTGTGTTTAAGTGTATGAATCTCTCTGAAATTATACCACAAGTTTCCATACAACAAAGGGATGGTTATGGGGGGTTATGGCTCAAACCATTTAGCAATTAGGGGCAAAAAAGGGGGAAAACAAGGGTTTTTATGGTTAAAGGACAATTTAGACAATTTAAAAGCAGTGTAAGGGAGGTAATCCAATCCATTTAAAGAATACTGTTGTATATATGTTTAATTACCTCCCTTACACTGCTTGTAAATTATGTATTAAGAAATGATGATTGTCTTGAGGTGATTAGCTGTAAATTTATTTTTAGAAGTTACTATTAATTGATATTAATTTTAACCATGACTGTATGTCATTTTATATTTTAATATTTTATGATGTATTTAAATGAGTAGTAATGGTTGCAAACTCCATTAGAAATTTGAATTGAGATTATTTTTGGAATAAGGGAAAGGGGGAGTTGAAAAAAATTGGGGAGGGAGGGGGGGGGGGGTAAATAAGAATTTGTGGGGTGGCTACAATTTTTCTCATTTCAGATTTCAGAAATTAAAAAGAAAATTTCTTCAAAATATTTTTTTTCTTTTTGGGGGGGGGGGTTAATATTCAAAAGCATAGTGTATTGCACAAAAGCATAATATTGAATATAAATTCAAATCATATAACCAATTTTAAGTTCCTTGACTACAGTTATTCTGTGTCAGAAACCTAGTATGTGTCAAATATTTAATTACAATCCAAATTCAGACCTGTATCAAGCGCGAATATTGTGTCCATTTTTGCCCCAACTGTTCAGGGTTGGACCTCTGCGGTCGTATCCAGCTGCGCTCAGCGAAGCATTTTATTGTGTTTTGGTCTGTTTTTCTTATACTGTATAAAATAAATCAACTATATTTGGTGTATGAAAATATTTTACGATGTACATGTCAGTCATGTTTTATTTGACCTTGACCTCATTTTTACAGTTCATTACTCAATGTTAAGTTTTTGTTTTTGGTCTATTTTTCTAATACTTTTAGCAATAGGTCAACTATATTTGGATTATGGAATGATTGTAAGGTGTACATGTCCAATTGGCAGGTGTCATCTGACCTTGACCTCATTTTCATGGTTCAGTGGTCTAAAAAAGTTAAGGTTTTTAGTTTTGGTCCTTTTTTCTTATACTATATGCAATAGCCTAGGTGAACTATATTTGGTGTATGGAAATATTTTCGGATGTACATGTCTGTCTCGCTGGTTTTATCTGACCTTGACCTGATTTTCATGGTTCATTGCTCAGTGTTAAAATTTGGTGTTTTGGTCTATTTTTGTCCAACTATAAGCAATAGGTCAACTATATTTGGTGTATGGAATGTTTATAAGGTGTTTATGTCTGTGCGCCAGGTATCATATGACCTTAACCCCTTTTATATGGGTCATTGGTCAATGTTAAGTTTTAATGCTGAACTTTGTTTCTTAGAAAATATAAGCAATAGGTCAACTATATTTGGTGTATGGAATGATTGTAAGGCGTATCTGTCTGTCTGGCAGGGTTCATATGACCTTGACCTTATTTTCATGGTTCATAAGTCAATGTTAGTTTTTTTCATTCTTCACTGCCATCTTTAATCACAATAATCAATATCAATGGTATATGACTAAGTTATTTCACTCTTAACCACAGTTATCCAGCATTTCTTCATATAGCAGATAATAACCTATGCAATAGCATTTACTTACAACAGGCGAGACATTTCTGTGTGTCCACTCTTGTTTTTATTGTAATTCAATGATAGTTGTTTTATACTGTCTGAAAATATTTAAACAATTTTGTTTATACCTGTATTTGTCATTTGACATGATATATGTATAAAGATGTATGTTAATAACATAGAACATATTAGTTCTATTGATTTATTTGTTTTGTAGGTTCATTTTTAAATGTGCTTCAAATAAAACATGCATAAGACTCAAGAAACAGAAGAAGATTTTGATTGTAACCCTGATAAGAACACTAAGGTCATGACAGCAACTAGTAACCATGACAACTCACCCGAGGTGAAACTTCCAAGGAGAAAGTCATCAGTATGGGTTCTAGTGAAGAAAAAGATGAGTGTGACAGAGGAAGGGGCAACGCCCATTCAATGGAAAATGATTATTTTGGTATTTGTTTCACTTGTAAGTATAGGTGTGGATTCATTTATTTTCAAGAAAAAGTAGTGAAATTTGTTGGAAATTTAAATTCCTAGATTCCTAACCCTTCTACCCCCACTCATGAATTTTTTTTTATCATGGAATGGTTTCAAAAGTTCACATGTTATCAAAATAAATTTACTGATCTTTAAGAATATATATATAAACATAAACTGCAGTTACTACACACATTTATTAGCAAATGTCAGGAAATATTTGTGATTTCGAAACCCATTGGATAACTTATGTGTTGCTATCTTAGAAATCATGTGTTCATTACTGTAAAGCATATAATTTTCACAAGTGATCTATTTTAAATACAGTGTCTTTCACTAGCAGAAAAAAAAATCTCAAAAACAAATGTTTCGCTATTATGTGAAAATAGAATACTTTCTTATATGATTCGATCAGCAAAGTAAGAAAAAATTCTGAAAATAAATCAGCACAAAGTCCGCTGAAAATAAATCGTCACAAAGTCCACTAGGAAGGACTAAATGCAAAAAAAAATTTGTGAAAATAAGTTGATTCACAGAATATTTCATTGAACATTTAATGGAGTAGGTATTATAAGGCCACTTTTTTTTGCTTTGTGAATTGAAAATCTAAAAGATATATCTTTCAAAAAGCATCCTTGCAATGGTCATGATGCATGAGATACCAATATTAAAATAAGGAGATATAGAATGATAGTCAGTCTTTCAGATATCAGTCTTTTTTAATTTACCTTATACTTTTGCTTTACGGCTTTAAACTTCTTGTTTTTAATGGTTAAGTGTGAAACCTATCTAAATAGCCTGATTTGATATTTAGATTTAAGTAATACCATTTCCATTCTCAATTTTATTACCCAAACAGACATTTTGCATACAAGATTTGTTATTCAAAAAAGCTAGTGTGGGTAAAATATTTGGCTGGGTAAGACAGTGACTTGAAGAATAGAGAATGGCAACATGTGTGTGTAAAATGGCCATACAATATTGTTATCTCATTGACATATACCCCTAATCTAATTCCATTTTAAGTCTATTTACTGATTTTGACATGTCTTATTATTATAAGAAAGAATTGGAAAATATAGTTTTTACATAAGACTTTATTTTATTTCAGTTTGGCAGTGCATTCAGTCTGACATTCCTGTTCCCATTTTTACCTGAAATGGTTTTGGTAAGATATAAACTTTTTACAGGTAATCATATAAAATGTTTTGCCTAAAAAGCAAAATCCATTAGAATCTGAACATTTGATACTTTTCAAGAAAATGTGGAAGGAGAAACTTTATTCAGTTTTCTCTAAACGAAGATATAAATGGGAGATAATTTAAGCAGTAGAACTACTTTATTATGAATCATTGCTCTAGAACTTTCCTGAAATTAGCAATTCATCACAGAAATTTGTATCTTTTGTTAACTCTATATTGAACAATGAAGAGTGATAAGAAAAAAAAAGAAAAAATATTTACAATTTAGAGTCACTTAAAATTTTTTTTAAATCTTTCATTTACTGAAGTTTCACATTAGAAATGAGTGTTTATTTTTTTGTAGTGGTTTGGTTATGAAGAAGAAGACAAGGGATACTATGCTGGATTGATAGCCTCAGCTGTGTTTCTTGGAAGGGCTGTAGGAAGGTAAAACCAATTTCTCTTTTACAAGGAAATATCGTTCTCAGTACATACGACCCTTTTCCGCAATCATCTCAAGAATCTTGAATCCTACTCTCTAAAATTATAATCTAAAGGAAAAGTTCCTGTTTGTTAAGTTGTACATAATACTACAGGGAGATAACTCTAAAAATCAGCTGAACGTTTTAAACACGTTCTATTGTTAAAAAAAGTATTAAGCTTCTCAATGATCAAAATTAGTGTTTGTCAAACTGCTATATATGCAATGAAATTTTTCCAATAAAGTGTGTGGTTCAAGTTTTTTGAAATTTTTATATTTTTGTCAAAGGGTGGGTCTTGAAGAAGTAAATATTTTGTAAAAATTTTATGAAAATTAAATGAGCCAAATTAATTTTAGTCAAGGTGTTTGGTACCACCTTAAGTTGTACATTTTCATATAAAAAATTTAAGATTCATGATCTGTAATTTGTTTTATTAGGATTGCTCACCATGTGAATTCGTAAAAATTGACTTTCAGTTCTCTGTGGCTGTTACACACAGTGCTACTTGATTCTGCACTTGCAACTCTTTTCACAAGAAATCTTATGATTAAAAGAGATTGAAGTTATACTGAAATGTTTATGACTTATGAGTAATTTTACTCATAAGATATTTTGTTAAAAGAGCTGCTGAATTGCAATTTTTTTTTTTTTTATGGTTTTCAAGAAACAAACTTTGAATTTGCTGTCTCAAGTCGACTCTAAAGATTTTTTTGAGATACAAGTGTTGTGCACACTTCGATCAGATTCATATCATTATTTTGATAGTCTCATGCCTTAAGGATGTACTTAGGTGAAATTAAAAAAATCTAGAATTTAAAATTGATACCATAAGCATGATAAGCGAGAAGAGCATTAGTTAAGGAACAAACTAATTTAAAAATATTGATAGATTATGGAGCTCCTTTTTGAGATATTTAATTTAAAAAAAAATGATGGGAAAAGGCTGACTCAGACTTTTACCTTATATTTGCATTGGTATTATTTGGGTCTTAAATCGAAAAAAAAAAAGACATCTAGAATCTGCTTAGATTTTGGTAAATGAACTTTTATGAGCTATTGAAGTCTTATATGAAAAGAAAATTGGGTGTTATGGGGCAAAATATTTTACCCTGTATCGTAGGAAAAAACCAAGGAGTCCAAACATCTGACAAAAATTCCTAAACCTGACCTAAGTACATCCTTAAATCTCATTTTGTAAGTAGTAGTGGCTAGAAATATATTGAAAAGCAGTAAGTCTGAAAGGCACTCTTATGTTTTACCAGACTTTAAAATGTTGATTATACCATATTATTTTCAAGGCATAAGCAACCACCACCCATCAAATTTGATTAAAGGTGTCTTTTAATCTTCCTCATACAAATATTTCTTGAAAACTTAAAATTGAACTAATGGAAAATTTTGTTTCAGCTATTTTTGGGGATGGCTGTCAGACAAGTTTGGAAGAAGGCCAATAATTCTGATTACAGTATTTCTGAATGGATTATTTTCGTTAGCGTTTGGATTTACAGTGAACTTCCCTATGGCTATGATTACCAGATTTCTTACAGGATTAGCTAATGGTAAGAAAATATTGCAATAGGCTCCTTTACCTTCCGAAGGTATATCCAACCCAGGAGTCAGCACTTCTGTGTTGACATAAATTATCATTTATATGGTCATACTTATAAATTAACTGTTTACAAAACTTTGAATTTTTTGTAATACTAAGGGTTTTCTACACCAGGAATATATTACCTTAGCTGTATTTTGCAAAACCTTTTTTTTTTTTGGGTCCTCAAAGCTCTTCAACTTCATACTTTTTGGCCTTTTAACTTTTTTGATTCGAGCGTCACTGATGATTCTTTTGTAGACAAAACATATATCTGGCGTACAAAATTTTTAAATCATGGTATCTCTTAATTGAGCAAAATAGCCTTATTGTGCTGAGGCAGCGTTAAGCAAACATCAATCAACCATTTTTGCAGCAAATATTAAAAAATTTATGAAATCAGTTCTTCAACAAATCACCATATTTTTTCAGGAACTGTGGGTACAGCTAAAACTGTGATATATGAAATTTCCGACAACACTAACCAAGCTGTTGGCATGTCAATATTATCCATGGCATGGGGAGCAGGGCTTATTTTAGGTCCAACTTTTGGAGGTTTGTATATAAGATAAATGAGTCTAATAAACAGCAGCCACTAAAACATGATTTTAAAGAAAGTCTGTGTATTGGTAAGAGGTTTATACCAGAAGCTATCCACATGCTAACCAATTTTTGTCGAGTATGAGCAATTTATTTCGCGAAAGCGAGACATAGCGATCCTAGATTCCGCCGTCGGCGTCGTCAATATTTAGGTTCAGTCTGTGGTTAAAGTTTTTTGGACATCAATAACTTTGTCAAACCTACATGGAATTAGATGAAATTTGGACAGAAGCCTGTTCATGACCAAAATACAGTATCCAGAGCAAAATTTTGAAAATATTTATTTTCATTTTTCTGTGTTTTACTGATAAATGGACTTATTTTTTTTACAGTTAACATTCATATTCAGTCTAAGGTTAAAGTTTTTCAGTCATCAATAACTTTGTCAGACCTTCATGCAATTTGATGAAATTTGGACAGAAGCTTGTTTATGACCAAAATACAGTATCCAGAACAAAATTTTGAAAATATTTATTTTCATTTTTCCGTATTTTACTGATAAAAGGACTTAGTTTTTTTTTACATTTAACAAATAGATACAGTCTGGGGTTAAAGTTTGTTACACATCAAATACTTTGTCAAATCTTCATAGAATTTTATGAAACTTTTTTATGATTAAGAGATAATGTCTAAAACACACTTTTGAAATATATTTTCGTTTTCAGTATTTTTCTGATAGATGGACTTTATTAGCAGTCAACATTTACTGACAGTCTTGGATTAAATTTTTTTGACATGATAAGTTTGTTAACCTTCATTGATTGTTATGAAACATGGACAGAAGCTTAGTATTAAATTGCAAATGTCAAATGACAAAACACCGTGAATGTCTTGCATATAAAGATGTTTTTATGCCCCATTTATGGGCATTATGTTTTTCGGTCTGTCCGTTCGTTCGTTCGTTCGTTCATCCGTCCGTCTGTCCCGCTTCAGGTTAAAGTTTTTGGTCAAGGTAGTTTTTGATGAAGTTGAAGTCAAATCAACTTGAAACTTAGTACACATGCTCCCTATGATATGATCTTCCTAGTTTTAATACCAAATTAGAGTTTTTACCCCAATTTCACGGTCCACTGAACATAGAAAATGATAGTGCAAGTGGGGCATCCGTGTACTATGGACACATTCTTGTTTTGCAATAATATACAATCAGTCTTTAGTACATCATTAATTTATGATTTATAGCATTTTTTCAAAAATAAGTTACACAAACTCTTTATGTATTCACTTCAAAAATTCACAATGAAAGCCAACTGACGTAAAGTATATTTAAAGAAAAAGAGACATACAACATTTGTATACAATATTTGTACATTGTAGGAAAATATAAAACTTATTTGAACGATTTTTTTTACTTCCCAACTACTGAATTTATTTTTGAATGAAAACGACATGACTCAAATGCAGAACTACATTGAGGACCCCAAATTGAACTGTGACAAACTGTCATTTCAATATAATTGTTTGCTGGCAACAAAGGCAAACTACCAGGAGACTATTTATGAATACTATGTATATATATTGCCTTGTGTTATCTGTATACCTGTATTTTAGTAGTAGAAAGGTCTATTGCATGATAAAAAAACAAGAACCTTGCCAAATGTTCAATAAAGATAAGGGAATTTATCTTAACTATACCCCTGCCTTGAAGAATGAGTTATATTGGTTTATGTCCCTCTCCATGATTCTGTCTCTCCGATGGTTGTGTGTGAAATTTTCGTTGAGTTTTTCTCATTCACAGTCACTACAAATCAGAGTTCCTAAAATTAAAACCAAGTTTCATATTGACATGCTTTACCATATGATGAACCTATGTTTTTTTTTTAAATTTTCAAATATAGTTTCTTGAGGTGATGTATCTTAAAATCATGAATTAGCTTTATACTGCAATAGAATGAGAATCTGTACCGACACTCCTTAACATGACCTGGCAAGAATTAAATATTTCTAGGTGATACCTTTTAAATGAGATAAAAATATATCTTGCTTAACATTAGCTGACAAAACATTACACTCTAATCCTACACATGAATTTGACTTCCAGGCCAACTAATCTTTACTCTTCCACATAGATTCCATGTGCTTTGCAAAGAAGCAGCAAATCTCAATTTTAAAGCAGTTTTTGTGTCAGTATACAAGACATATGGATTACTATCTGGTGGCGGCAGCGGCGAGGTAATCTATTTGTATAAAGCTTTATATTTCAGAAGGAAGAAGACCTGGATGCTTCATACCTTGTATGCATATACCTTATGTTACGAAGTTTCCGTCTGTCATATGTCCAATGTCCTTGACCTCATTTTCATGGTTCAGTGACTGCTTGAAAAAAAAATATAGTTTTTATCTCATGTAAATTTCTCACTTATTATGAGTAATAGGATAACTATATTTGGTATATGGATTCCTTGCAACATCTTTATGTCCGTTAGATAGAGTTCACCTGACCTCGACCTCATTTCATGGATCACTGATCAAGGTTAAAGTAACATGATTAGGTTGGTTTCTCAGATATTATAAGCAGTAGGTCAACTACATGTGGTGTATGGAATGATTGTAAGGGGTACATGTCAGTCTGGTAGGTTTCATCTGACCTTGACCTCATATTCATGGTTTATTGGTCAATGTTGAGTTTTTGTGTTTTGGTCTGTTTTTTAAGTACTAAGAGCAATAGGTCAACTATATCTGGTGTATGGAATAACTGTAAGGTGTACATGTCTGTCTGACAGGATTTATCTAACCTTGACCTCATTGTCATGGATCTTTAAAAATGTTAAGTTTATCTGATACTTGTTGTTACAACCTTTATCTTTAAGACTTTCAACATAGAATCAATGGTCAGTAAAGCAGGCGAGACATTTAAGCGTGTGCACTCTTGTTTAGACCTAGTCAGTGATGAAACCAACAACTTCTTGCATTTGAGACTTGTGTGCTACCACTAGACTACCAAGGCTGTTAAGCTGATAATGAAGTCTTTAGTATGTGATTAAAATAAGCACATAATATTTGTTTTCAGGTTTACTAGCAAATCCAGTTGAGGAATATCCATCAGTGTTTGGTGGATCAGAGTTCCTGAAAGAATTTCCATACCTGTTACCAGGGTTACTTGTATTTATAGTATGCACTTTAGTGACTATTGTGGAATTCTTTGCATTAGAAGAAACTTTACATAGCAAGTATGTATACTGTATATAACATCAAACTTTTAGTTCATTTCCTATATAAAGCTTGGATTGAAAACTTTGAGAGACTGTTCTTTTTTTCACATTTAAATGTGTATAAAGCAGGAGTTCAAAATTAATTTTAGAGTAATAACAGAGGTGGTTCAGGACTATTGGGACTTATAAAACAAAAGTCAAAAGTCCATCTTCAAAAAAGAAAGGTATGTTGTTAAGACTTATTGACAGGAATGGAAGGTCCAGGACTTTTGAAATTTCAAATAAAAGGTCCACTTTTGATATTCAAAGATCAGATACTTTAGACCTCAACTGATTTAAACCCTTGGAAAGATGTAGTGTGAATATATCACTGTCATTATTAGCTTTCTTGCCCCATTTTTGCCATGTAAGCTATTACTGTCATGTTGTTTCTATTGTCATCGTTAAACTTTTTGGTAAATCTCCAACCTTGACCCCAATTATGGCCTGCTGACCTATAAGCTGATTTCACTATAAATAGAATATTGGGATTAAATGCATATGATTGTCAAATATTTTCTAAGGTTATTCAACTGATATGAATGAAATTTTGTTGAAATGGTTATCAAATATACTATAGTGTTATTTTACCAAGAGCTTTGTCATACTTCTGAATATAGCATGACCTTGTTTATTATGCTACAAATGTTAATAATACTATTTTTGTAAACATTGTTTGAATTGCATATATTTTCAGAAGAGAAAATTTAGAACTCACCATAGAGGAAAGAAAATTAAACACTCTTGATATTAATCCAGATGAAGATATTACAATCTTAGTTGATGATGAGGAGGATAAAAAATCTTTACAAAGTTTTTCTAGTCAGAAAATTCCCAAAATATCTATGTCCGTTGAAAATCTTCATTTAGAAAATGAAGCTGCATATTTTCACACTCAGTATAGTGCTCTTTCCAAAGAGTCTCTCAACAGAGATAAAAAACATATCAATGAAACAGATTCAGTTACAGAAGACCAAGAACACAGCACACTGCTACAAGACAGCGGTCTTAAAAGTAGGATAAACAATGGACATTCAACGTCTTCATTTGTGAAGCGGACTAATTCCTTAAATGGTTCATGCCATGCTGATTCCACAAGATCTTTAAATGGTTCTTGCCATTATAGTTCTAAAAATAGCATTCAATCATCTCCAAAGAACTGTTGTAATGGACATGAAATAGTTGAATTTTCAATGAAAGAAATTGAAGAGAAAAAGACAAGAAATGTTTTTGTGAGATGCTGTAAGGTGATTGGAGAGATGTCTTTATTTAGACTTTTAAGGTAAGCATAGAAAGATTATGGCACAAATTAATTGGTTTTTACACAATCTCCTTTTAAAGATCAGGAAGTCTTCCATGAGCATGAAATAATGTTTTAAATTGTAGCAGAGGGAAAAATATCTTCATGTTGTCTTCTTCTGATTAAATTTGATTGGATAATTCAGCTAGGCATGTTTTTTTCAAAAACCTAAAAATATTTGTTAATAATTTTATATGATTGATTGATGTTTGCTGAACATCCAGTGACAAATATTTCATGCGTGTTCAGAACGAAATGAATATATTAGACAATTCGTTATTTGTGGTATATATATGATGTGTGCAAGTTGTAATTTGTACAGAATTTTTGTTTTAATATATTATTATTTTGCAAACATCTTGAGCTGAAGTTGTACCCCTGGCTTTAAAAATGTTAAGGTTCGAGCATTCTTGTTGAAGTAAATCCATTTTAAATGTGTACAGAATTTTTGTACAAATATCAGTTTTTCAATTGGATGAAACTAGCACATTGTCTATGTAATATATAATGCTTAAGCCAATCAGAAGGCAATTATTTTTATATTTCAGTCAATCAGATATCAGACATCCAGTATTTTTGTATACAATTTTTTCCTTTGCTGTGATTGGTTATGAAGAAATTTTTACAGTTTGGTGCTCAACAGATCCTTTGTTAGGTATGTGACCCTTGTATAACCTTTGCAAATCATAATTATTTTGAATCGATGGAATACAATCTTTTTCAAAGGTTAATAGAACAGTTGTAATATGGCCCTATTCCAGAAAAAAATTGTCTTACATCCTCAAACAATGTTTTTGTATTCATTATGAACAATTTTAAAAATGACATTTGGATATCTAAGGAGGTGATTACTAAACTTTTTTTCAAACATCATAGATAGCTCCAAAACAAGTGTACTACAGAAAAAAAAAATGATATTAGGGTTTGTTCATGTGATTTTATGAAAATATTATACATTCAAAATTTAACCTGAATATTTATTTGCTGTTATCATCACCAATTCAAATTATAAGATATCAAAATTAATTTAATGCACAATGTAAACAACATTTATTACTCTTTAGCGGTTCTTGTTTTATGCAAGATATAACTATAGTGATGATCATTTGTGAGTTAATAGTATCTACATACAATTCTGATATTTTAGATGGTTTGGGATTTAACCCAGGAGAAATAGGAACTGTTCTTGGTTTGTCAGCAGTACCACTTCTATTACTTAATGCATATGTTTTTCCATGGTGTGCTCGAAGGTTTGGCATTAAAAAGGTAAGTTGTAGATCAAATAAAAAAGGTAATTCTTTGGTGGGGGCCTCAGTGACAATGTGGTCTAAGTAGTTGGTCAATAGACTGACATCCCTGATTTTGTGAGTTGGAACCCTGCTTGTGGTGAGATTCTGATCTTATCTGTCAAGGCTTGCCAGTTTTCAAGCAGAAGGTCAATGTTTTTCTTTTGGTACTCTTGCTTCCTCCACTAATATAAACTCCTGTCATGATATAGCAAAGGTCCCTAAATGGGTGAATCATTAACAAACAAAAAACAAACATTTTCCTGCTTATCTCTTTTTTTTTGATAAATTATATTAATGATGTAATTATTTCTATATTTTAAATTGACCCTCTTTGCAATAGAATCAATGGAAAAAAGATTTTTTTAAACGAAGTTTGATGCCAAAATTGTTATTATTCTATTAAAGTAATAATTAAACCAATAAGTTTTGTCCAGGACTTCAAAAGTGAACACGAGTATGGTGATACTTGCTTCCAACTATGACTGTGTTTGTACATGTTGTATGAAGTGTGCTTTATAGCTGACTGAAAAATTGAAAACTTTTAGCCATTCACTTTAAATTCAGAAATTATTGCGTGCATTTATAATTACGATTTTTGAAAAGAGAACGAAAATGCGAGATTAATTATTTCTGGAAAATCGGCATACATTATATATAAGGGATATCAGAATGTGAGTTCTTATTATTGCAATACTCACCCGGTTGCATTATTCGCATAAAAAAAACCTCACAATAATTTCTGAATTTACAGTACTTCAGTTGCACAGTCACTATGTATATGTATGAATAAAAGAAGAATGTGGGCTGTACTTCAAGGAGACAGCAAACCAACGACAACAAAACGCCAAAAGTCAACGAGGTTAAAATGCAATCATCAACAAAGAAACGTGCGATTATAGAAATTAGAAGATGTGTTACGATTGTCATGAGACATCTCTCCACCAGAGACCAAATGATGTAGAAGCTTAGCAATTATTCCTCAACCTACAGCCTTCAACAATGAGCAAAAACCCATACCGCATAACAAGCTATAAAAGGCTCCGAAATGACAAAAGTAAAATAATTTAAATGAGAAAACAGCCTGATTTAAGTACAAAACATTAAACGAAACAAAGTTTTCTTCTAGAGCATTGATTTTTACATCCCAAATAGGTCAAGATAAGAGATTTTGGCGAAATATGACAAAATCGGCCTGATTTCAACCAAATTTAGGACCAGGAAACATAGAGCGAAGGCGTTGACAAACTAAATATTCAAGTAAGACTTGTAAAATGTCTTTACAAACATAATTTTAAAAGATCTTTTTTGTCAACGTATGCGCTCTATGTTTCCTGTCCAATAATCAATGGAAATTTACCCATTGTCATTGATTTTTTCATGGAAAATCAAAAAGTGCTATTTATGACTTCATGAATAAAACGCAGGAACGTATATTTTCAACAAAAAGGCTTATTTCCTATCTAGTCACTGTATTAGCTATGATTTATTGTGATATTGGTCAATAAATCCCAATTTGAAATTTAAGCTAAAAAAAGGGGACCATTTTTGGGCCTTAACGAACCTACTCCTTTGTCCGCAACAAAATAGCACAATAGTGCTGAAAGTGGCATTAAACACCAATCAATTAATCAATCAAATTGTGTGACTGCATGCTTATTGTAAAAGGCTATCATAACCTGTAGATGTTCATTTTTTATGTGCCTCATGACTTCTTTTATTGGATTGCAAAAAATATCCTTTTGATATGTATAGTGATGGTCATTAATGATTCATTTCTATTATAGACTTTCCTAGGAGGTTCTATGATTATGATGGTTCTCACAGCAGTACAACCAGTAGCACATTTATTATATGACAGGTAATTATAAATACATTATGTAGTCATATGTTCAGATAGGCCATTTTTTCAGACAAGCATCCATACAGGCCATTTTTTCAAGACAAGCATCTAGATGGGTCATTATTTTTTTGACAAAAGTCCAGATGGGCCAGTTTTTTTTTTTAAGACCAAAGTTCAGATATGCCATTTTTTCCAGACAAAAGTTCAGATGGGCTATTTTTCCAGTACTACATTAAGACAGAAAAAACCAAAGTAAAATCTCATTAATTTGACATTGAAAATAGTTTACACCATTAAATATGTTATATTTGTTTATAAGTGTTCAAATTATATTCAAAAGAATAGGTCACTCCTCAACCTGATAAGAGATTTGCATGGATTTAGATTCACAACTAATATCAAATTTAACCTATAGTCAAGGAGATTAGTGATCTCAGGTGCTCAGGAAGGGTAAGCAGATCCTGCTCCACATGTGGCACCTGTCTTGTTGCTCATGTTAGTACAAACCCGGTATTAAGTCTAATTGAAAATTTAATTTGTGTATATGTATATATTATTGTGAATGTTAAACAACATACAATAATGCAAGATTAATTAATGATCTTCCTTTACATGTGGTAGAAGAGTATTATCTTCAAACTAAAGTGTGCATCTTACTTATTATGTTCATTAATGATTATGTTGCATTTTTACTTTTAAAATATATTTTGCATTATTTTCTGAGTTTACAGTATTGTGGATTACTTATTATTTGTGGGGAACTAATTTTCATGTATGTTGGGCTATAGGCATGATAGGTGAACAATGAATTAAAGTGCTAAAAAAAAAAGTTACAAATTTTCTGTAGGTTTTCATACAGAATTTGTCAAAACCATGAAATGAATTACTGTAATTCAGTAATTATTGGGAGGTTTTTATTGTCGAGCCTTCGACTTTTGTCGAAAAAGCGAGACATAGCGATCCTACATTCCGTTGTCGGTGTCGTCGTTGTTGTCGTCGGCGATCATAAGATAATATTCAAAAGTAAATTTTGTAAAAAAAAAAATCCATTTTTTCCATATTTTACTTATAAATGGACTTAGTTTTTCTTCCAGTTAACATTACATACAGTCAGCAGTTAAAGTTTTTAAAACATTTATTAGATTCATAAACTATCCTGGATTTTTACCAAACTTGGACAGAAGCTACTTACAATCAAAAGATAGTATAGAGAGGAATATTTTTATTAATTTTTTTCCTCATTTTTGTTGAGCCTTTGATTAATAGCAAAAGTAGGCGAGACACTGGTTTATGGGAATAATGGGACTGGTTGAGTATTGCAATAGTAAACACTCACATTCTGATATCTGATACATATTTTCCTGAAATCACAATAATTATCTCACATTTTGTTATTTCTTCTCAAAATCGCAATAATATCTAAATTTACAGTATCCATGAACAAAATAAACGCAATAATATCTAAATTTACAGTATCCATAAACAAAATAAAATTTCCTCAATACACAAAAAAAAAAGTACAAAAATTAATTGAATTTACAGTGAATATATATAATATATATATGTTAAATCTGCAAATTTGTGGAAGCAAATTTTTGTTCTTCCCCTGCCGGGATTCAAAATCCTGCAATTGAGGTATCGTGACAACACCGCCTGCAATGTGTCCGGCGTTCTAGACCACTCAGTCACCTAGACTGAACTAAAATTCAGCTTTTGGTGGCCTAGTGTTACCTTTCCTTGTCAGTAGAATCTAAGAGTTGTAACAGATACATATATAATTTTGCAGACGACCAGAGTTATGGGCCTCCTTGTTAGTTATCATTCTGCCGTTAAAGATAGCTGTAAGTTGTTGTTTCACAGCTACAGCAATATTTGTGAACAATTCTGTAGAGCCTAGTGAGGCAGGAGCAGTCAATGGTATCGCCATGACAGCCACAGCTATAGGAAGGTATGTTTTTTGTCTTTTAATTCTTGTATTGCTAGTTCAGCATTATTTGTGAATTGGTATGTTAACATAAAAAAAAAAGGGGTTTTGAATGGTGTCATCACATGCGTTGGGTTGGAAACAGGAATGTGTCAAAGAGACAACAACTCGACTGAACATAGAGAAGTTCTAGCTCGGACACGCACTCCATTGTCTTGTTTGTTATAAGAGCATAAAGCTGAAGCACAGGGAGACACTCTACTGTCTCAACACGGCACTGAAGACAAATGCTGTAAAAAATAAAACTGAGAATGAAAACGGGGAATGTGTCAAAGAGACAACAACCCGACTGAACATAGAGAAGTTCTTGCTGAGACAGACACTCCATTATCTTGTATATTATATAGAAATACAACACGTTTTTGTTTTAGTTCCATACTAATATTGACCAGAATTTAAAATGATAATAGATTTGTAATGAGTTTACTTCAATCACAGTCATTGCTTTAATAAAGTACATTATTATTTGATTTATTTTTTTTTGTAGGACTTTGGCCCCAACAGTAGGAGGAAGCATATTTGCCTGGTCCATCAGCTATGGTGCCAAACATCTTGGTCCACCATTTGATGTCAGCCTTTCCTTCTTTTTCATGTCTCTGTGTTGCTTTATTACTATAATCAGTGCTGTTACCTTACCAGAGAGACTGACAAGACAAAAGAAATGAGAAGATGAACAAATTATGAACTGGAATATTGATGTATTGAAGAAAAGAGGAAGTATTACAGAAAAATAGGGGAATAATATTCTAACATGAAAGGGATTTCAAGACATGTGTACTTTTAAAACAGCAAGATCATTAAATCTATACTACTAAAATAAAGAGGTCCAATTTGTTAGCCGGCATGATGTAAAAACGACGGATCAAAGAAATCAACTTTATATGTAATTAATATAGGACAATAGTGTTGTTTAAAAATTACACCATTCCAGGCCCTTTTGTTTTCAACATAATTAATATTACCAATAATTAACAACTTCTGGGTCGAATCTGATACCGATACCAATGGTCTATGTCACATGTAGTTTTCGGTATTTACCAATTACCTTCTGTAAATCCCTCCTCTATTCTTCCAGTAGTTGTTTTATATCTGTTAAATAATAGTTCACTATAGAACACTATTTAACAAGTCTGTTTTCTTCCACCTCAATACCACTAATAATGTGGGTTAACTAGTTAGAAAATTAAATTTAGTTTATAGTAAGTTTATTGTAGTAAGTAAACCAGGACGGTTTCAAACAGAAAAATCCAGGCTAAAAATAAGGCATAGGTTCTTTAATTCAGTTGGGACCTGCGATATCGCAGGTGTATTCTAGTAGACCACAAAAAAAAAGAAGAATAGAATAACAGGAATTACTTAGATATATTTGAAATTCAAGTACTACTGTACACAGAAAAAAATGTGCATGGCAATAGACGTACATGTATTTACGTCTGTCTCAGAATAACCTTCTGACATCATGCAACAATCACTTTTAAATTATGACCAAGTGTTTTTATTTGTGATACAACATTATGCTGCTTTTGCAGGAACCTGTGTAACTTTTTATTGGCTGACAAATTTTTATTTAAGTGTAAATAGGTCTATTGATTTAAAAAAAAATTGACACCAACTGAAATAAATGAATCTTAAGTTTGCTTAAATTTAACACAGTTATAATGTGATCATTGATTTGGCTGTGTGTCAAGTGTTTGAATGTTGTATTAACCATGACATATGTCTCAAGAGGAAGATGATTTATTAACATTACTATGGGAGTATATATATATATTTATATACTGTAGATTCATTTGTATTTGTGGATAGTGAAAAAATTTCTATTTTCATGGATATTTGATTTTGTGATTTTGCTAATGTCTGCAAACAAGCCTATAATTATAGATTATCGTTGGTTATCTCAACGAGATTGATTTTCTCGCTTGAGCTGGTAGGGTGAAAGCGAGAAAAGCAATCGATTTGAGATTACCAATGATAATCTGTTTATCGCTATTTTACCTATGAAGACGTTGTTAATTTCCTTGCGAAAATTGATATCCCACGAATAATAATGTATCAACAGTACATGATATGAAAAGTGCAATAATATTCAAGCATGATTTATGGAGTTAACTTTTTGATGAGACTGTGTTCAATAGGAAAATGTATTGTAATTATTTGAGTGTTAATATATTATTATATATATATATTAAATATATTGGATATAATCTTATTGTCATTGGTGCGTTGTTGATGTTTATCTATATTCTTAATTAACTTAAAAATGAGTAATTTATGTGAATTATGGTTATTAATCAATGTTGTATTTTAGTACAGAAATTAAGGTTTATAGTTATATACATGTACACAATGATTTCCATACATTGTTACATTACATATTTTTTCATATAAATTATTTCATTGGTTTGGATGCTGTCAGCTGACTTTAGTAAAATTTAAATATTTGATTGGCCCCTTATGATTGATCTCTTTGTAATAAAACAGTGACAGGCTTTTGTATTGGTCAATATATCATTAAATCCATAAATGATTTATGATTATAATAAATAACAATGAAAAAGAAAACTTAACTGAGGTCATATCTGTCAACTCATGAAATTGGAAAATTAGGTCATAACCTGAAATGGACTGAAAAAATTAGGTCTAAACCTGAAATGGATTGAAAAAATTAGGTTTTTACTTCTGATGGTTGAACCTTTTGCTGATTCAAGAAGCATATATGTATTGTGATCCTAGCTTACTTTTATACATCAATTATATCTGTGACTCCTCTATTACTACAAACTTTAAGTAAATTTTAGCCCCTAATAGCATGAATAACGTTATCGGCAACGCCTACTTTATTTTTTTATCAAATTATTTTCTGAAGTTTCCTATAAGGGATATGAGAGGTAAGCTCAGCTTGCTGATTTTTTTATTTTTCTATTTTGTTGAAAAATAAAGTAAATTTATGACTGTGGATTCATGTATTTTTGACTTATTTTTCGTGGGTACCAATTTTCGTGGATTGAGAATTCTTGCATACATTAATATTTGATTTCGTGGTTTTGCCAAAGTCTGCATACATTTCTATATATAGATATAAGAAGATGTGGTATGAGTGCCAATGAGACAACTCTCCATCCAAGTCAAAATTTATAAAAGTAAACCATTATAGGTCAAAGTACTGTCTTTAATACGGAGCCTTGGCTCACACCAAACAGCACACTATAAAGGGCCCCAAAAACTACTAGTGTAAAACCATTCAAACGGGAAAACCAATGATCTAATCTATATAAAAAACGAGAAACGAGAAACACTTATGAACCACATCAACAAACGACAACTACTGAACATCAGATTCCTGACTTAGTAATTCTCTGAATATTTGAAGTTGTGGTTCTACTGTACACTGTTACCTACGAAATCCCCAAAAATTGGTATCCAACGAATAAACGTGAATCACAGTATCAAAATAAATACCTCAATAGAAATTAAAGTACACAGGAACAGAAATTAAAGAACACAGGAAAAGTAACTGTATCAATTAAATATTGACATTTCGATTGAGAACATGATATTTTATAACTTTTATTTTGATCCTATTGACTGCAATCATGCATGATAACCTTTATTCTAACTTCAATGAATGAAAATATGTATTGTGACTTTTATTTTCACTCCATTTAATCAAAAAATATATGATAACGGGTGACATTTTATATTTCTAGTCATTACATAACCATTAGATGACATAATCAGTATCTGGGTTGAAGTCCTTTTAGTAACCTCATAGAATATGTTGATATACAATTATGCCTATGGCTTAAAACAATAACCTTCAATAATTCTTTACTTGTATAAATTTTGTATTGAAAATGAACCTATAAAAACCAAATAACGTTTACATTCATTTTATTCAAAATGTTTTGATCAAAATATGTCAAGATTTTATACATGTATTCTGTGTTGATCAGTTTTTATATATTTAAGTCTTGTATAAACTGAATGTTTATTTCTAGTTTTGCTAAAGTAGTTCAGTGCTTGTTGAATTTTTTTTTAATCTTTTATCACTTGTCTCAAATAGTTATTGCCTTTTTTTTTTGGTTATTTTGTTTGTTTTTTATATTTTTATTATGATATGTAAACTGCATATTGTTTTGTAAAATATATTAGTTTTAATATCAATGTATTGTATGACACTAATGACTAGTAATTTATTACTTATCTTAAGTTTATAATGAAAGTGATTGGGATGAAATTTTACCAGCAAGCCATATCAGCATTTTGAGGAAAACTTAATTGTGTTTGGCCATCCTTCAGTATTCTCTTTTAATTTTACTTTTAATTTTGCTTTTCTATATATTGTGACAATTTTCTTGATATTTAATGTATTTTGTTAGTTAATATGTACAAGGGTAGTTGTTTTCATTTTTATCTGAATGTGGGAGTTCAGTGTATTTGTAAACTGAAACTTGATCATTTATTGTCTGGCGACGAAACTTATGTCTCAGTATGGAAGACATAGGGATGTTAAAACGGCGGCTGGCAGCAGTGTAAACTATTTGCATAAAGCATTATATATAAGATAGTAGAAGACCTGATTGCTTCATATCCTGTATATAGATGCTTCATGTTATGAATTTTCCTTCTGATCTATGTTTTTTGTTCTCATTTTCATGGCTAAGCGACTGCTTGAAAAAACTTTTTTTTGTCATGTAAATTTCCCGCTTATTATGCATAATAAATTTAGGCCATTCAAAAAAATGCCTATTTTCTCAGGCCACTTTTTTAAAATATGGATGAGAAGGGAGGCCTTTTTCCTTTTTTTTTTCAGAAGAAGAAAGTCTTTCTTTTTTTAAAGAAATTTCATCAAATCCACTGCTTCAGCTGTCTAGATATATCTTATCAATCATGGTCTGCTTACCCACCTAGGGCACAAATGAGTATTTTCAAGATGAAGAACTCTTGGTATGAGTTTTGATAAACTAGATATACCTGTTTCAGCAAAAAATGTTCATGACCTGAAAATTGACATATTTTAATATGGGTCACTAATCCTATTTCTCAGGAAATGTCCATCCATTTGGACTTCCTTGTCCATTTTTTAAGGAAAAAATCAATTCTGATAAGTTACTTTCTGAGGAAAAGTTGAATATGATGCACCATATGCATGGCATCAAAACTTTGCTCGTATGTGAGATTTGGTAAGGAAATTAAAATCATCTCGCTCCACTCTATGATGTCTAGTCAATGTTAAATAATTAACAGCCTCAATAGAAATGTAACTTTTACATTTTCGTCAAGCGCACATACGACTCTGTTAAGTTATTCATAAATACAAAATCATTATCGGACCTGATATGAAAAAATGCCGGTTTTTTATGAAAATAAAAATCGTTGTTGCAGGAGTGTTTTTAGGAATGCGACGGGGCCTGAAATCTAGTTTTTTTTGTTTTTGTGGCCATATATAATAATAATATTTGGTATATGGAATCCTTGCAAGGTCTACATGTCTGTCAGGCAGTGTTTGCTTGACCTTTAACTTATTTGTTTTTAAGATACAGGGAATAGTTCAAATATATTTGGTTTATGGAATGATTGAACAGTGTTTATGTCTGTCTGTCAGGTATTATCTGACCTTGACCTCATTTTCATGGTTTATTGGTCAATGTTACATTTCCATAGTTAGTCTTTGTCTCCCATACTAAAAGCAATACTGAATAGGCCATCTATATTTGTGTGTGGGAAGATTGAAAGTTGTACTGGGTCTATCTGACCTTGATCTCATTTAAATTGATCATTGATAATGTTAGGTTTATGTGATACTTTTAATAAAACCTTTTATCTTCAAATCTATTAGCCCAAAATCAATCAGGACCAGTAAAGCAGGCAAGACATTTCTGTGTGTCCACTCTTTTTTTAAAATCCAGTATAGCAAAAATTGGATTATAATAAAACAACAACACCTTAACATGAATTATTTTTTTCAAATAATGACAAAACTACATTATGGTGACAGGTTGCCGTCCTATATAATATGCCAAATATAAATCCCTTTTTACATTAGATAATGAAAAATAGAAGCTATATTTTTATTCCAATAGAAGAAAACCATCCATAAGAATATATCAAAATGTTGTTTTATGTGTGAGAGAATGATACTGTTTTATTTTCATGTCTATTTCCTTGTATACCAAATATTCCTGAAGTATTTGGGTAAGGTTTTAACCTGATGCACAAAACATTAACTTGCAGTCTTCTAAAATTAAACCAATTTCTGGCTGGTTTTCTTTATAGGCTTAATTTTTTACCTTCTTTCCTTACTCGCTTTTTGTTCTGGTTGTTTTTTCATTGTAACTAATATGTTATTACTGTATGGAAGAAATATTTGTCATTACATGATGTATTTTTTATGGTTTTATATGCCAAAACCTTAATTTTTTTTAGAATAAATGATAAAATTTTATGTAATCTATATTTTGTTATCTAATTAACTAATTGGTTGTTATGAATCATGTTCAGGGATTACCGTATGTGTTTTGTTAAATCAGTATCTTTTTTTGTGCAAGTTAAGTATGTGTTCATTGTTAAGTTTCCTGGTGATATTTCAGTTTAATATAAACATTCTATGTTGAAGTTCTGTTGTCATGAGTTGTCAACAACAACAAAAACCAAAAGATGTTGTAGTTCTGTTGTCATGAATTTTCAAAAACAAAAAAACAACAAAATGTTGTAGTTCTGTTGTCATGAATTTTCAAAAACAAAAAAACAACAAAAAGTTGTAGTTCTGTTGTCATGAGTTGTCATCAACAACAAAAACAACAATACTTACCCTCTAAAAATAAAGTATTGTTGTTGTTATGTTGTCTATTATTTTATGAATTCAATAAATGGTATTTAGATTTCTGTTCGAGTCAGATTCATAATTTTCACTTTTGCTATGTGATTTTAAACCATTGGTGCTTTATGAACTGCCATGATTTGAAAAAAAAAGAACCAAACATATATTTTTATAAATAAATACCTCTTTATTAATCAAAAAATAATTGAGGATTTTTTATTTTCTGTACTTTATTATTTTGATTAATCCCTGATCATTCAGAAGCATTAGTACATAAAAGGTCAACAATAACACTGTTTACATGACGGAGTTGTTATTTATTGAGGTTATGTTATGTATTGTTGTATTGATATATTTTATTTTGCAAAATGCTACTGAGGCTTTTTTAAAAGTAAATTACCAATTAAAATTTTATAAAAAAGCTAGCTATGTTAGTCTTTGATTTAAATCCTAGTCAGAACTTTACTAATGGATAAACACAGAATGAACAACAAAAAAAGGTTCTCTTATTAAACATTTGCATATCCAAATGAATAGCAAAAAAACTGCAGTTTTTGTGATGTAAAATTCCATCGTGCATATCATAGGAATAAAACGAGAAGTGTGGTATGCATCAGTGAGACAGCAACCCAACTACACATAAAACACAAAAAACCTTAATAGGTCAAATAATAAAAAATAAGGAGGTGAGGTATGATTGCCAGTGAGACAAATGTCCACCAAAGTTCAAATAAAGTGGATGTAAGCAATTATAGGCAACCATACAGCCTTCAACAATGAGAACAAGAATATGTCCATAGTACACGGATGCCCCACTCACACTTTCATTTTCTATGTTCAGTGGACTGTGAAATTGGAGTCAAAACTCTAATTTGGCATTAAAACTAGAAAGATCATATCATAGGGAACATGTGTACTAAATTTCAAGTTGATCGGACTTCCAACTTCATCAAAAACTACCTTGACCAAAATCTTTAATCTGAAGCAGGACAGACGGACGAACGGACGGATGGATGAACTAACGGACGCACAGATTGAAAAACATAATGCCCCTCTACTATCATAGGTGGGGCATAAAAACCCATACCGTATAGTCGTTTATAAAAGGCCCCAACATGAAAAATATGAAACAATTAAATTACGAAAAACAAATATGACAGACATGAACCAACGACACCCACTGAACTACAGGCTCCTGACTTGAGACAGGCACATAAAGAATGTGGCGGGGCTAAACATGTTTGTGAGCGCTCAACCCTCCCCTAACCTGGGACAGTGGTGTAACAGCACAACATAAGAACAAACTATAAAAATCAGTTGAAAAAGGCTTAACTCATCAGATCGATACAAAGCAGAAAAACATCAAACATGAACACAGACTGGACGTGGCAGGGTATTTATCCATCCCTCATCCCTAACAACAAAAAGGACACTAAGTATAGATCTGATAGTCTTGTAAACATGAGTGTTCATACCATACATGTATTCTGAGCCCTTAATTAATCTGAATCTTCAAAGATATGAACGAATTCAACAGAAGCTACCAATAATCTGCAAATAAGTTAAAAATTATTGATAAGATCTTTAAAAATCTTTTGCAATGTTTATAAAGCAATAATCCACTCCAGTATAAAAATAAGGAGATCTGGTATGATTGCAATGTAACAAATATCCACCAGAGTTTAAAAGACATGGTTGTTAGCTATTATGGGTCACCCTACAGCCTTCAACAATGAACAAAACCCACAAGGTCTAGTCAGCTATGTCACAAATAAAGTTGCATGTAACTCATGCATAAGTATATGCACAGTTTGATAGATTTGATACAAACCAAAGCAGGTTTAATAGTAACAACAATGAATGATAATTCATCATCTCCATTTTAAAGTGAGATAAATGCTCTCTCATAGGTTGCGACCAGTTATCTATTTCTTGCATGAAGAGATATTTCTAGTATCACACTGCATGGAGTGTGATATGAAAAAGTGATAGGAAAACTGTATTAATTTTATTGGCTTATCCAGCATCATGAGACGATATTACAACATTTCCATTGGCTATTCTTTAGGTCATTGATGACTTTCAAAGGTTAAGACAATGTACATTTTATTCATGGCAACGGACATATGTGATTTCTTCAACACTCTTATTTTCACCTGAAAATCTTCTTTTTTTGTCAAATTTTATTACATTCTGAAGCGTACAAAAAGTTTTAAAATGTCTTATGTTAAAGTTTGACGCAGGAACAGGACATATGATGTCATAATGGTATGTGCGAAGATCATTGAGGAATTTTTAATTCAACACTATGTGAGTGTTGACCATTAGAGAAATAGGTTTAATAACTCATGAGAATTGGCCAAAGGCTGGTTTATTATTATATGGAAATTAAATAACTTGATTTGATATCAAGAGACATCCAATTCTAACTCGTTATGAAACCTATTAATATCTACTTACTGTAGATTGATAAGTAGTGATGGGTATTGTATTTTGTGTACTAGTTAGTGGGTATAAGTTAACCAAAAATTAAAGATATATCCCGATTACAAGGGGTATTATGAAAAAATGCCAGTTGAGAGAAAGTAAAAAAATCCTGAGCTGCTAAAGGTTTATGAAATATGAACAAAATTCACCCAATAAAAGAAAATACATGAAAAATGCACTAGCTTTCAACCAACCAAAATCCAAGATTTTTATGTAATTAGGTGCAATTATACAAAATGCAAATTTCATGTCGGCCTGTTGATAAAAACAATGAAATCCTAGTACAAAGTATCCACAAAAAGATATTTTTTCTTTCATCTTCAAAAAAATTTAACCCAGGAAAATAAATGAATCCACTGTATTTATGGGAAGTTCTTAAACAGAGGCAGTATCTGCAGATTTTGCAGTCTTTTCTGGATTTCAAAAAGTTTGAAGGACTAAAGAGTGTTAAGGATGTTCGCTCCTCTTGTTTTTGAATTTTTTGCCAGATATTCGGAATCCTCTGGTTTTATCCATGTAGTGCCATTAAAAATTTTGCTTGCTAACCCCTACTTTTCTTTTCATAATTTTATTACATATAGTTTAAAGCCATATTTGAAAATCTTATAAAATCCTTGTAACTTTTTCATTGTTTTTGAAAGAAAAAATGGTGACAATGTTAAGTATATGAAAAATCTTGAGAGAATCATTTCCCGCTAAATTTTCAATGGCTTATATCTCGAAAACAATCACACAGTCCCTTCATTTTTAGGCAGTTAAGCTGCCTTATGCTAGCACCCTAGATTTGGACACTTTTTTCATACTTTTAATTCTGAAATACAAAAACTATGACCAGAATAACCTTAAATGATTGTCGAACGACGTATAATAATTGAAGTTGCACATAGGAAATAGTGCTCAATAGAAATCCGTACGTAGTTTATTATCCTATGTGCTTTTGGCTAAGATGTCAAAGAGCAATTGTATGAAATATTTCATGGCCGAAAATCTCTAATTACAAGTCGTTTATATTTCCCAAATGGCAAATTCGCAGGAAAATTGTTCATGTACACCAAATCTCTATGATAGAGGAAATAAAGTTATATATAGTAGTCTAAGTTGGCGGTAATTTTAACTTACACGAAACGTAAGTTAGTAAGTATACATTGATTCTGATGATATAAAGCCCGATTAAAAGTATTACTTAAAGTATTGTTAATCATGATATTCTTTTTGTTTAAGATGATTGTAATAATTAATTGATTTCAATTAAATGTATGCACATTTGAATTCCTTTCTTTTATTATATTATTCCGTTTATCACTGACCTTGCCAAATAAAGTTGTTGTTATTTTATGAATGAAAGAGAACCGGAATTGGTCGATATTTTAAGAAATGGGGAACAACTTGTCCCAGAGACAAGTCAGACTGTGTCCACTCGGACCGCTTGTCAGATTTACTTAGGGTTTCATAAAATGTGAGACTAACATGTCTAGCGGAGCCATCAATCTTTCGTTTGTGCATTGGGGACTATTTAGGGGTATTTTGAGGGACCTAAAGAAGGGAGGGGTTTACTATAGAACCCTTTGGGATTTTTTCTTTTTTTTAATTTTTAAATGACTATTACTTGAAAACAGTTAGTGATAGAAACACGTGGTCTTCAGTAATGATAACAGGACAATTAAACAAATCAAATATAATATTGGGTGAGTCCCTGGGGTCATCTCACCCCTCATCCCCCCCCCCCCAACCCTCAATTTAAAAATGTGCTTTTATCTTGTAAACGGTCGCAATCCCCACCCCTAAACCATATATATATATATATACTTGTATGGGACAATAAAACAAATCAAATGAACATTTGGGGGAATCCCAGGCGTCACCCAACCCCCTTCTGTTTGAGAACTTGTAAATGGTCGAGATCTCCACCCCTAAACCATATATATTAATTTATTGGACAATATAACAAAGCAAATGAAATATAGGGGGAGTCCCTGGGGTCACCAATCCCCTCCTGTTTGAGAACTTGGAAACGGTAGAGATCCCCACCCCTGAACCATATATATTCTTGTATGGGACAATAAAACAAATCAAATTAAATTGAGGGGGGAGGCCCCGGGGGTCACCCCTACAACTCCTGTTTGAGAACTTGTAAACGGTCGAGATCCCCACCCCTACACCATATATATTCTTGTATGGGACAATAAACCAAATCAAATGAAATATAGGGGAAGTCCACGGGGTGCCCTACCTCCCTTCTTTTAGAAAAATTGTAAACGGTCAAGATCCCCACCCGAAACCATATATATTCTTGTATGGGATAATAAACCAAATCAAATGAAATAAAGGGCGAGTCCCCTGGGGATCACTGCCCCCCCCCCCCCCCCCCCCCCCCCCTTTTGAGAACTTGTAAACGGTCATGATACCCACCCCTAAACCATATTTATTCCTGTTCGTCATTTCAAGAAGATTTGAATGACATTCAAGGTCAATCTCCTAGGCATCACATATGCATATCACTTTACTAGACCAAACCAATGTGTACTGGACTTTGCCCAATGTCAGGCGACCATGGGAATGACGAATTATGGGAGCTTTGTTTGAGAGACTTCGTAACAGCATCCTGTTACAATCATTTCTTGTTTATTATAAAATTTAATTGATGCAAAAAATAAGTCTAGGTTAATTGAATTTACTTTTAATTATTTTTTGAATTATTTCTGGGTCTATAAAAATTTTCATGTAGGGAAGCAAGTCCATTCATACTATTACAAACTCGTACTACGTAAACTTGTACCACTAAAAGTCAACTGGTACCAACGTTTACTACCAACTAGAACAACTGCAATCATTGCGAACTTGTGCCACTGCAGACTCACCATTAAAAATATACATTGATATATGCATTGCTTTTGAAAACCTTTATAAAATATTAATTAATTTGCTTAATAATCAATTC